AATAAAAATATCATAAATAGTTAAATCGCCTAAAAAATAATGAGAGAGAGAGAGAGTTTTACTATCATCCAAATTCTATTTATTTGTTTCATATTTAGGAATGGCAACAGGGTGGGTTCAAGGTGGGGACCATACTCCCCATCTCCAATCCCGATCCCGATCCCTACCAAAGATAAAAATGGCCTTCCATCCCCGATTCATACCAGAGATGGGTTCTCTAGTGGGGAACTTGAATCCCCAAATTTTTTAAATTAAAATTATTTTTAAAAAATAAATTTACTTATAATAAGATTTTTTTAAAATATAAGAACATTTTAAATATATTTTAATATAAATAATATTATATATGGGTGGGCGGGGAATTCACTCCCCCATCTCTGTTCCCATCCTCGATTAGGTATCACTATCAATCCTTGTCCCTGCCAAGGCAATCTCCATCCTTGACCCCATCGAGTTGGGAAAGTTGAGTACCCACCCCATGGGATGGGGAATATTTTTCATCCCTATTCATATTCAAATTCTATTAATTGGATAATTGTTAGAAAACTATAGTTTGAAACCTAATAACTAAAATTAATAAAAGTAAACTTTAGCAAGTTTTTAGCTAGCAATAATTAAAAATTAATAAATTAATAAAAATTAGTAAATTAAGACACATTTGAATTATATTTAGAAATAACTAATATTGATATGAAATTAAAATAATAATAAGAAGAAAAAATTTATTAAAAGTAATAAAATAAACCACTTGCATTCCATATAAAAAATGAATTTAAAATAGTAATGTGGCTAGTAGGGATGATCATTTATAACTTAGCCCAAACCCGTCGACCTACAAATGTTTAGGCTCAAGCAATTATTTATTTCTAAGCTAGGTCTAGCTCAGACCTACACCAACCCCACACATAATGTGGACAGTAGGACTATAAATGGATTGGATTCAGATTAGATCGAATTGCATCTGCATCCGCATTCAATTATGAAATCTTTAAATCTGCATTTGCATTTGATTATTATATTGGGTTTTGGATCATCTTTGGATTTAATCTACAACCATCTTATTGTGTTTAAAGTGACAAAAAAATAAAAAAATAATTATTTGTAAAGTATGTATGTATAATAAATATAAAATATTAAATTTATCAATTATAAACTTTATATAATTATGCATAATTTATACGTGTACATAATTATACTACATATATACATAAAATAACTATTAAAAAACATAAAATTATAATTTTTTACTGGACTCTAATTTTAGTTGGATCGGATGGAGTTAAATTCACATATTATTCGATAATTAATTGGATGCAAGTTCTAACATCCAAATCCATGATAATCCCATTTGGAGCTAAATCAGCTATTGGACTTTCAGAGTCAATTGATAACCCTAGCGGGTAGGGCCCAAGTTAACCCCTAAGCTCAACATAACAAACTTTGTATTTTTTTCTAAAGAAAAATTTCTTAATTAAAAGATGATAAATACAATCCGATGGGGTTAAAATCCATTCACGATCTATATCTGACCTATGCAACTAATTCATGAGCAATCACATTATATTGATGCTTAATAAAAGTAAAGACACAGATTGATGTTGTGCCACTATTGCCTTTCCATCTAGAGAGAGATGTCTCTATGCCCAAGGGTAGGCTTATAAACGGAGCGAATTCAAATCGAATTAGATTAAGTTCGAATTCGAATTCGATTGTACAAATGATTATTCGAATTCGATTAAATATTCGGTGAATGTGAAGAATTAACAACTGAATTCGAATTCGATTGGTTAATCGAATATTCAAATTCGATTGATTATTCAAATCAACATAAAAACCCTTGAAGAGTAAAAATGAGCCTCTGTTCAACGAAGAACTTAGGCAAACCAAGAACAACAAACGAAAAAATAAAGAAAATAAAACACCTAAAAAACTAATGCAAAATGAAGAACAACAAATGAAAAAAAAAAACAAAACAAAAACACCTAGAAAATCTAAAGCAAGCAACTAAGTCTCTAGTCACAATAGCAAATTCACCGTCGGTAGAGAACAGAGTGAGAGCAACAGAGAGAAAGAAAGAACAGAGGGAGAATAAAGGGAGAACAAGAGAGGTAGAAAGAGGGATCGATCTCGAAAAAGAAGGATGAACCTTGGGAAGATGCAACAAAAAACTTGAAAATCAAACATTCGACTAATTTTTCTGCAACAATGCTTCCAACTGCTAAAGTTCGGACTTTAGATGCATCATGTGAACTTCCACCTTCATACCATGGGGAGACGGAGGGGAATGACGGAGAACCGGGGCAAATGAGATGGAGTCGCAGAGATGGGGGAGATGATAAAAATATAGTAGAGACAGAGTAGCAGAGACGGAGGGGAATGAACGAGCACCTTCATGCCTCACCGCTATTGGTAAAAGAAAAGTAAAACTGAGTGGCCTTGTCACTCAGATGGTAATCCAATTTTTTGTATTTTGCAAGAGATATGTGAGAATGCAATAAAAGCGGATATGATAAAATTATATTATATAATACTATATTTAGATGATAATCAACTTTTTTGTATTTTGTAAGAGATATGTCAAAAAGCATTAAAAGCGGATATGGTAAAAATATATTTTATAATACTATATTTATTTATAATATAATCGAATTTGAATATTTATTGAATCGAATCAACTTGTATTCGAATTCGATTCTATTAACTAATTGGTAGAAAATGAATATTTGAATTCGACTATTTATACTATTTGAATCATCCGAATTCGATTACATTGAATTTCGAATTCGAAATAGGTTTTTCGGATACCATTGACACCCTTATCCAAGAGGTGGCAAATTTTGCAATTTTCATATGACTGATAACAATTTTTGTATTAATATATAGATATGAAATTTTATATATTTTTTTATGATAAACTAAAATTAAACAAAAAATTTAAATAAAAAATCCTAATTTTATAATTAACATTGGCAAATCTATCATTGACAGAGGTGTAAACGGATCGAATTCGAATCGAATCAAACAATATCCAAATTCGAATCCGATTAGAAAATCTGATATCTGAATTCAATTTGATATCCGACTGATATTGAAAATTAATATTCAAACTCAAATTCAATTAAATATCCAAATATTCGATTCGGTTCGAATTCGACCAATTAATTATTTTAGGTAATTAATAAATATTTTATTCATATAAAGTATATAGATATATAAATTAATTATTATATACATATATATATAAATTATATAAACATTTAAATATTTTATATATTATATATAAGAATTAAATAATCGGTCGAATTTGGATATTTATCGAATTGAATCAAGTCATATCTGAATTCGAATCCGATTAACTATTCGATATGAATAGGATATTCAAATTCGACCAATTAGATATTCGAATTATCCGAATTCAATTCGATTAATGCCGAATCTCAAATTCAAAATTGAATTTCCGAATATCATTGACACCCATCTCAAGCTTAAACAAATCTTATTACGCTTGGTATGTGATCTAACCAAGCTAAACAACTTATAAAAATATACTCTCTCTTCTGAATTTTGAGTGTTGGAGAAACTCGAAAAAATATGAATTAAATCCTTTTTCCTGAATATGGATAGCCCAAGTGAAACATTGTAGGGCTTAATATATTTTAGTGATTTTAGGGTTTTAAGAAACGAAATACTAGGACCAAGACCGGGGTTTTTGTGAGAAATTATAGAAAATACTAAATCAATCTAAAAAGACAAAAATAATGAGTAGGTAGGTATGCAAATGGATTGGATTAGATTCGAATCAGGGTATATTCGAATCCGATCCAACATTGTTCATGTCGGAATTGATCCAATCCGAAGATTTGATCGGATCTGATAGGACTTGATCTGAATTCGAATCCTATCGGATCTTCAGATCTTATTTGATCCGACTTGTTTTCTTTAAAAATTAATAAATTATTAAAAGAAAAAATATATCAATTTAAATAAAGAAAACAAAAAATATAAGTATTTTTTAATTATTTTTTATCATATATATACATGTTTTTTTATAAAAAAATAAAGAATATAATAAAGTTATAAAAATACAATATAAATAATGTATTTACAAATAAATAATATAAATATATAACGCATCGGATTGGATAGAGAGTGATCTGAAGATCCGATCAGAGATGATCCGAATTCGACAAAATAGGATCGGATCTTGGATCCATTTGGCCCCTATGAGTAGGTTTTCATTACCTTCTTCGATGATTTGTGTCCCGGTGATGTTTGATTGCAGAACTAGAGGAAAACGAATGATGCCTAAGAAGCCCTTGTTAGAACTCGATTGTTCATGATCGATATAGCAAGAAGCTCTTGCTAGAAATGCTACTGAACAGAGATAGTTGCGACTTGCGAGAGAGATAGATATCGGAGGGAGAAGGCCGCCGGAGATTGAAAATTGCCCTGAGAGAGAGAGCCACTGGAGAGAGGCAGTTCACTCACCTGAGAAAACCTAGACTGAAGTCCTCGGTTCAAACCTTGGATTTTCAGACAGTTTGTGGAGAAATCGACTTCGTCCATTTCGGTCCGCTAAATACATTGGACCATAAAAACATGGACCGGTTCAACCCGATACTAAAATTTGGATTGTCCAATCTTAGATGTGATTCGGATGGAGTCCGGCCAGAATCTGGTCCATTGACACTGCCGAGAACATCTTCACGTGAGATGTTCTCAATGTTCGACCGCAGTGGTTACTTGTGACATTGTTGGAAGCGTTTTATTTGGTAGCAGATTCCTTTATACAAGTAGGGAAGATGTTCCCGATGTGCGGCTGGACCATGACGTTGGATCGATGTAAGGAGCGATCCGGACTCAAGACGCGGGAAAACGGGATCCACTTTTTGGCGCGAGAGCTGACTTGGCAATTGGCCACGTCACCATCCAACTCAGTTTTCCCGCCAAGCAACGCCCATTTAACGCGCCAAACCTCTAGCTCATTAGCTCTCGCCACCATTTCCTTCTCTCCGTCCATCCAGCCATGGAGTCCTCCGGTATCTCTACTTCTGAGACGACAAAAAAAGTTTCTGGGGCAAAACCCTCATCTTCGCCTTTCGGTCCCTTCAGGTCGAAGAAGATAATCAAGTCGATTTCGGAATCGGCTTCGTCGGATGAAGCTCAAGCAGCAGATCCGCATCAATGGAGCTTAAAGACACCGGAGAAGCCGACGCAGCTCCCTCGCCGGATCAGAAATCAAGGTTTTGCTCTTTCGGTAAAGGAAGTAAAGAAGATAGCTCAGGGGCTCCGGAAGAAGACGAATACAGATGCACCATCTGATCAACTCAATCGGAACCGGATTGGGACAAGCACAAGTCTCTCGTCTGAATATGGATCGAGCGACAGTGCGGTCGGTAAATCTTCCAAGACCGAAGCATCGACTAAACTTCCTGAAAAGTAAGGAATCTAGCATTACATTCATTTTCTTTCTGTCTAAAATGTCATAAACAATCTAGGTTTTCTGAGCTTGAACCTGTCGCTTTGGTGATTCAGGTATGAGATGTTGGCCGAGTTTTTTGACAGTATGGAGAGTTCAATCCGGCTGCTTCGCTTGAAAGGATCACTGTCGACGTTTACAAACATTTCACCAAAAATTGAGGCCCTAACAGACCGGTAGGTTTCCCCCTTTCTTTCTACTGGACTTATTTTCAACTGGCAAATGCAGAACTTCAATCCGGGTGTTGAAAGTTTTGCTCTGTTTTTATATGGGAATCAGATAGAATTTGATCTGGGGTTTTGTAATTGTTCTGATTATTTTTCTTTTTAACTTTTCCATGCTTTTAGGAGGTTTTCCTATGGCCATTTAGCTCAATTGAAGTACATTTTACCTGGAGCTATTATAACAAAGAAGGTTCTAATGCACGATGAGGGAACACTGTGCATGAAGCCAGAACTTCAAGTTACTCTTCAAACAGATGCCTTTGAAAATGATGGGAAGCGTAAGGTCGGAAGTGGGCATCTGAACTTGAGGAAGGTTTTCCGTGAAAGGCTTTTAGATTTCTTCAAAGCCCATCCGGAGGTACTCGTCGGTTTATTTATCCTCTGTTGCCATGGCATGAAGAATCTGAAACTTGAAGTAGTGCTTTTTATTGTTTTCCTTCTCTTTTTTTTTTATCAGTAACAAACAGTACATTTATTTAAGATCAAACGAAGAGTACAAAAGTAATTAAGAGGTTGATTGCCTCGGCTATCCAATTCAGGCTGCAGATAAGGTATTACAAATAGAATTATCCTCGTAAAACCAAACCCCAAAACTTGTTGCCCTTTGTTTAGCCAGTCCATCTATTAAACTGTTTGCTGCCCGAGGTACCCACTGAATAATTCTGATTTCTCTGATAATGTTCCCATATTTTCATGAACCTTCCTGATTACTGCTCAACCAGCTTGTAACTTACTACCTTGGAATCACCTTTAATAATGAGTTAATTGCATTGAATTGGTTTGGTTATTTGGTCTTTTTGATCCCTGTTAAATCTGCCCGAAGTTATGTCCTTATTGAACCCCCTACACCAATTGGCTTTGAAAATAGAACTATTATATTCCCCTCATTGCTCCATTGTTTTCTTTTTCTTTGTTTCTTTTTTTCTTGAGAGATTACCATTGCTGTCATTCATAATTACCTAAATTCCAAACTGATTATTGACAACTCAATGTAAAAGTTTGTTTTATTTCCTTTTGACACAAAAGCAGTTTCTAGATTTAAGAAATAGTTTAAGGTTCAATATTTCTGATGAATTCAACCTCGTATCTATTTTTGCTTCACCTAAAATGTTGATAAATTACCTTTGTAGCATTTTAGTGACTGGAAATTACTAATGCAAAAATGTCTTATTCACTTTCTTTTTACTACTAGGATTATAGAATGCGTACTAAACCATTTTAGCTAGCCACTTTTCTTATGTTGAATTGTTCTTTTATGTTCAGGGAGATGACATTCCAGAGGAAGTGTTGCCGGAGCCATTCAATCAAAAGAAACAGAACATACTTCAAAGTGCTATCAAGACCTGCAACCCCACATCATCTAATGTTCTTCAAGAACATCTCCCAGAAAGAGCGGCTCACCTTTCTCAGTCTTTCCAGAGGCGCTTTTCACAGAAAGTTCCCATGTCTAAAACAGAGCATAATCACCTACAACAACATATCGCTCCTCCTGAACCTTCAGATTTACCAGTCTTAAACCCATGCCTCAAAGAAAGTTCTTCCACTGAGGAGCCTCGAACTTCTGCTGCTCTGTCACCTTTTAAGTATTCTTCAAAACCACTGACCAGTGAAAGATTATCAACATTTTGTGCTTCTCCATCTAAATCAAACCCCTCCAGCAATATTGCAGAAGTGGGCAAAAAGACAGAACTTGTGAGGAATGAAGACTGTTCTTTGACAGAAACTGTTGGTACCCAAGGGACTCCTACAAAACTTGATTCAACTCCAGCCAAGCTGATCGTCACACCCACATTGCAGACACCAAAAAGATGTCGAATGAGCCCTGGTGATGATTTGGCTAACTCATTGAACAAGTTGGTCAGGCGTCCAAAGCGAAGTAGATCTTTGAAATTTGATACTCCCGTAAAGAAAGCAAAGACCGAGGAAGAGACAAATGAGACAAGGGGGTCATCTATTGATAAGGATATTATAGAAATTCTTCCAAAGGCACTTCTGCAATCGGTATGTCCAGTCACATATTCATGTGCTGTAATATTTTAGATATTTTCTTCTACCAGACCATCATGATGAAGAGAAGTTTATTTTTATTTTTACTTTTTGTTCATTTCAGTGTAGAATTCTGTTCCAAGTTACACTTGGAATAAATGTAGTTTCCATTCCTTCAGCTCCTCATTCCCATTGATGTGTCTAACAAATTAACTCCATGCCTGACATGGGAATACGTGGCCAACTTGGGTCATTTAGTATTGGTGGATTAACCTGATTAACTATTTGCAGATACGAGATAAAGAAAGAAAAGCAAAGGAGGAGAGGGATGCAGGAACCTGTCGAGCAAAAAGGCGGCAACAAATGATTGCATGCCTACCCAAGCTGTTTGACATGATCCACCTAATATTTCAGTCAGCTAAGCGTTCTGTTATGACAAAGGAGGAGCTTATGCACAAGATAATTGCCAGTCATTGTGATATAACTGATAAAAGTAATTCTCCTCATTCTTATCAACTATTACTGAGAATTATTAGTTATATGGAATATTTGCACAATATATTGAGGCTTCATATGATCTTAATATTGTTACTTGCTTGTGCAGGAGAAGTTCAAGAGCAGCTGAGCTTGATGGAAGAACTAGTTCCAGATTGGATTTCAGGGAAGGTGTCATCTAGTGGAGATTATATATTCTGGTGAGCTTAGCTCATAATAAGTTGCCTTTTTTAATGCCTTCTAGAATACTAGTTCCTGATCTGGGTGATCATGTTGAAATGCTGAATGAGATTCCAAGCAATGGCTGACATTATATTTTGTTGGAATTTGTGCAGTGTGAATAAGAATTCAAGTCCCCTGTCAATACGCCTTAGACTTTCCGAAGCTGAGTGAGAATGAGCACTGAACACTGATTGAAATTCAGTAGTTGTTCTCAAGAGACAGGGCTGGTGATATTTGGTGGCAGAATTCAGATGTCCAAAGTAGCGGAAGACAAAGTGATCTACATTGACCAAATATCCAATTTAATTTAACTACCACTGATCTCACCCCTCTATGTGGGTCTATTTGTAAATAATTGTCTTGCTTCTTTTCCATTGATGTACAGAAAACCTGTGAGAGTGATGCTTGCTCTTAACTATGTATTCAGTTTGGTTCATTGTAAATGCCAAATTTACCCACTAGGCCACTAATATTCTATTCAGCTCTTTCAAATGACAGTGTCTGTAAGGGAAAATCTATGCGGAAAGATATGGTACTGAAAGAGATATCATGAAACTGTCAAGTATATAAAAAGTTGACAAAATTAAATTTTTAAGGGTGAATTGCAGATTGGCACCATGGTAGTTCCTGAACTTTCATAAATATACACTTGGATAAACTCTTGAATTACAGTGAAGGGTAAAATTATGAAAATGCCATGTTTTCCCTTCCAATTCTCTTTTTTTAACTGCTTATCTTTTTTTTTCTTAAGATTTTGGATGCAAACCAGTAGTGGTATTTTTGTAATTTACAGCCAAAGTGCACTTGAATTGAGTCTTATGTAAGCCTAAACTATCTGGCCTCAGCCCAGCCCACACCAAAAATTCATATACATGTATGTATGTATATGGTTTATTAATAAAAAATGTGCATATATGCATTCAAATAGTATATATATATATATATATATATATAAGCTAGGTTCAAAATAACTAAGGACTAGACCCAAGCCCAACCCAAAGTATTAATAAGCTTGAACTTTTGGTCCCAAGCCTAGCCCGAGGACCAAACAACCAAATCCATCCCATGTAAAATTGCATCCATAAGGTTGAGACACACCAGCACTCTCCAATAGCTTCATCTCTATTAAATGCCAATGCAATTCAATGATAGGGCCTAAGTAGATGGAATCAAAGGCCTACATCACTAGTCTCCCAAATGCGAACGAAGGGAAAATAAATCAATAAATAAAACATGTAGTTAAGGAAAAGTACCAACAAGTGGGAAAATAAATGGACCTACTCAAGAATGAAGGGTATATGCTTTAATATCATCATCATCATCATCATTAATATTATTTTATTTTATTTTATTTGTATGTATGTATGGTGTGATATCAAGACTCAAGAATCCTTGCTTGAGGCAGATTTTGTAATGGGTTAACTGTCACTTAAGCCTTGAATGATGATTTATTCCAATAAATTTGTAGAAACTGGTTTAATTTGATATGTTCTGATTTTCTAAAAATGCTTGCGTGGTTATCTCATCGTGGATTGATAAGATGAACTCTACTAATCAAAGTTTAATTCCTCGTCCTTATCTCATCGTGGTTATCTCATTATTATGATATTCCCTAATAACACAAGATTTCTCCACCTTTTTATTATAACCAAAATGGAAGCAAATTAATATCTCCCTTACATTGCAAAAATTATCATTTTAATTCGAATTGCTATGAAAATTTATATTTGTTGTATTTTTCCCATGACTACGTGGAAACTTATGCCTTTGGTATTTTTGGTGCACTTAGGCTGAGTTATTACTTATTTTGTTTGATTTGGGATATGATTAAAATTAGTTAATAAGAAAAAAAAATATTATTAGAAGTATAAAAATAATCCAAGTTACATTCCATATATAAAAATAATTAAAATTTAATAATAATGGATCAATTGCATGTGCGTCTTCTACTTCAATTTCACTTAAAAGTCTATGCATCACAAGGTCCTAACTAGTATATTGACTACAACGAAATATATTCTCTAAAACTGAGAAATGAAATAGGTGAAGGTTTATCTCCATTATTATCAACTAGTTAGTTCATACAATTCTTTGTTTTTTCGGTGGGAAATGCCAAGAATCTGTGAAATATTCAAAAGATTTATTATTGAGATTGGCTTCAGTGTTCACAAGACAGTGCTTACACCATTCATATAACCTTCTACAGTGTTTTAAAATATTTTCATACTTGTATTTTTTTTTTTTTTTTTGGGAAGATATTCTTAATGCAAGGCTAAAAGGGATGAGAACTAAAAATTCATTTATTTTATATATATTCTAAATGATTTATTGGCGTGATTTAGGAAAATAAACTTCCACGCAATGGTTATGGATGTACTGTTTGGTTGCCTAGGTGTGAATGCCATGCTGGCATTGAAGGGGCGTTTTCCCCAAGTTCACATCTGCGCCCCCACAATGTTCCACAGCACATCCGTGCCGTGTATTGGGAATATCTCCCGATGATGACATTATCGATTCTGATATTATCATCGGGAAATATTATCAATACACGGTAAAAATGTGCTGTGGGACATTGTGGGGCACAGATGTGAACCCGTTTTCCCCAACCCAACGCTTTTTGTTTGGTTAACGGTTTATGGTTAACATGTTTTCTCTCGTACAGCTACGATTCTGTGCTAACTATTGCATAGTAACTTCCATTCACTATGCTTTTTTTACTCGTTCATCTAACGATCCATAATTAAACTCCATCTCATATTTTTGTTTTTACATCAACAAATATCTAGATTCAAATCCAGAAGTGCATTTTAGATGGATGAAATCCAACGGCTGGAAAAAAAGAACATGCGCCGGAGAATAAAAAAAAAACAGAAAGAAAACCGACCGTACGTACCGGAGTTTTGAATGACGGGAATGCTTTTGTTGCGACGAGAATCCCAACGGTGTTCAGCAGTGAGCGGAGGAGGCTTGAGTATGGGCGGTAGCTGAAAATGAAAAATGAAAGGAATGAAACCCTAAGCCAAAAAAATCGATTAGACGAAAATCGTGGTGCATCGCGAAGCACTGGATAATTTCAAAAGTTGAATACGTCAGCTTACCAAGTCGATGCCACATAGGCTCCACATCATGTAACAGTTGGGGCCAATGGTTGGGTGCTACCGGAAACAAGTGTTGAACTTCTAAATAAAAATGCACTATCCACCTATGAAATGTTGTGGTAGACTGGTTGATACATCCAAAAGTACATTTAGCACTGAATTTGAATCCAGTTAGAAAATTTGATGTTCGAATTTGACTTGATGTCAGATGGATATTGAAAATTAATATTCTAATTCGAATCCGGTTAAATATTTGAATATTTAACTCGATTTAAATTGATTAATTAATTATTTTAGATAATTAATAAATATATAAAATAAATATTTTATTTATATAAAGTATATAAATATATATGATTATCTATATAATTTAATTATTATATATTATAAAACATTTAAATATTTTATATATTGTATATAAGAATTAAATAATCAGTCGAATTCAGATATTTATCGAATCGAATCAGGTCATAGCCAAATTTGAATTTGATTAACTATTTGAAATTATTAGAATATCTGGATTCGAATGATTAAATATTTGAATTATCCAAATTTGATTCGATTATATCTAATCTCAAATTTGGAATCGGATTTTCAAATACCAGACACCCCTACATACACTTTTATTTGTGCAAAATAACACTTATAGGTCCCACTTACACATTCACCTATGCAAAATAATTGGTTTATACCTCAACTTTATCCTTTAATTCCTAAGAACTCAAATCCATAAAAAAGAGATTTATTGATAATCATGAAAAATATTAAAACACTTTTTCTTGCATCATTCTCTAAACATGAACCATCTTGGACCATGATACCAAATTTGACAAGAAAAAAAATTATATACGAAAAGAATAACTTATTTAAAAAAAAAAAAAAAAAAAAAACACAGATTGGCCTGAAAGAACTATTAAATTGCCTGAGATTACATACCTGTGTCAATGGTTTATATGAAGGGGTTTCAGTCCGAGATTGTCATTTAAAAGAATTGCAACCAAACAGTCTTTGGTATTTAAAGATCTATCCATGAAAGCACATCAGTCTTTATAAGGTCTTTAGCTTTTTCTCTTCATATAAACCATGAAAGTTAAGTTTGCACTTGTGTTTTTATACGGTTATACCTATTCATATTTATTTCAATTTGTAAGTTTCACAATGTACATCTGGCATATCCATTTCTTTTCACAACATCCATGCAATACGCATCCAGCTTACGTATCTACCAGGTTAACAAATGGTCAGATCTATTAGTATTAGAAGGTGCTGCCCTGTGAATAGGGGTGTTGATTAGACAGGATTTGGTCCAACCGATCCAGTCCAATGTGAGTCCATTATAAATGGATCAGGTCCAATCCAATCCAATCAATAATTTGGACCATTTGGACTGATCCAATTTAATGTTCGGACTGTCTAATTTGTTCAAATTCATTTTAATTTAGGCTGGTTTCAACCCAAACCCGGTCCATTGACACCTATATTCTTATCTTATATCAATGGACTGGATATTGGCTTAATCCAATCAAATCCAATATAAATTTATTATGGATGGACCAGGTCCAGTCCAATCTAATAAATATTTTAGACCGAATTTGTCCAATCCATTATCTTTTTGGTTCATCCAATCCGTCAATTTGGACTGAATGGGGTCCAATCTAAAACCGGTCCATTGACACCCTTACCTGTGAACATCTCCCGATGATGACATCATCATTTCTGATATCATCATCGGGAGATGTTCCCAATACACAGCAAGGATATGCGGGGGGCAATTTTGCGGGGGGCTGATTTGAACTTATTCTTTTTGGAAGCAGACTACCAAAAGGAAAGTGTACCCGTTGCCAAAATTAGCTTAAAAGGGGAACCAAGTGCAGTTATGATGGCCAAGTAGTCCTCCCACAACGTTCTGGCTATGAGATGAAAACTTACATGATTAACAAATTCCACTACCACAAGGTCCACAACTCTGCTCATTCACCATTGCTAACTTGAGGCTCGAAGCAGACCTATAGGCTATACCTACAAATGTGATTTGACCAAAGAGAGAGAGAGAAGAAGAAGAAGAAGAAAGCCCTCAGCAGAAAGGAAAAAAATCATAATGATGTTTTATTCTCGACTCATTTCTGGTTCTTGGAGTGAACCTTAACATCTTGTACATTCAAGATTCAACAAGATCTCCTCATGTACTCAAGCTGCAATAGACTGAAAACCAGTATCAAGAAAAATGTATACACGTTGCTACAGAGCTCCTACTTTGTAGGTAATCTATGACAATATCCCTAGCCCTGCCCCCGGCTTCCTAAAAACAACACCTTGTACCTTTCTCAGTTTTTTCTAATATTGGAACATTTCAATTTTAGTTTCACTTGCATTCTGAAAAACCAAGTACACTTACAAGGTAGTTTCCTTATTTTCCCCTTCTCCTACGATCCTTCTCCCTTTCTCTGCCTTTATCCCTATCATGGTCATCCCTCTCCCTGCTTCCACTCTTTTCACGTTCCCTCCCCCTTTCATTTTCTGGTCCATGACCACTATCTCGGTGCCTATCCCGATCCTTCTCTACATCATTTTCCTTTTCTCTGTCTCTACTTGATTTGTGCTGTGGACTCTGGCTCCGGCTCTGGCTGCGATGTCGCTTTCTTGAAGAGTCACGGTAATCATCTTTCCTGTCCTTCCTCTCTATGGATGACCTTTCTGCAGATTTCAAACATTTCAATAAACCTTTAGGCATTTACATACAATGAATGCTATATGCTACATTATCAGCAATATTTTTTCACAAGGACTTGAGAGGAACACACAAGAGACGTGGAGGTATACATCCAGAGGCCAATGCGTAGTTTGATCAAGGTGAAGTTTCTTATCTGTACATGGAAACTTGAGCATTTGACACGTGCATGTATACCCTGCTTTAATTGTATGACAAACCAAATTGAAGTTGCCTAGTTGATCAATTTCAGAGTACAACAGCGTAGATTGACAATTTGAAATCAAGCGAGATTTAAGGATTACAACGGTTATTAAAGAATAACATAAAAGTGATAAAACTCAGAAAGAGGTAGAGGATATTACATAATGCAGAGTGTGGAACAAAGGAGGTAGAATGTTAAAACATCATTTCCCCTGTTACTCAAATTCAGGAGTCTTCATGAATCATAGAAACAACTTCAGTTACTCAAATTCAGTAATTCAGTACCAATAACTTCAGTTGGAACCCAATATTGGACCAACCATTTCAAGGACAGGCTAAAGTTTAGTAACCCAACTTGAAACAACTTTGGGGATACCCAGAATTTAACATGCAAAATCAGAATGTTCTCAATAATATCTTTCTAGCAAAAATACATTTAGACCACAAGATAAAACGATATAACAACTAGCAAGTATCAAAACCTTGCAGTGTTTTCAGGATAATGCCAAAATAGCTCCCTTAAACAATAAGTAGCTATAGTAGAGTATCCTAAACTGTCAGTGTCACTTTCACATAAAATTCAGGTATCATAAATCTGACTCCACATTGTGAGTTTCTAGAATTTAATTTATGCAAGATTTTATATAGAAATTGAGTAGAAACTGTTTCAATTAAAGGGGCAGAAATCATGTTTTCTTCACAAAGAATATGGCTGAAATATCTCACGTGAAAACCTTTCCACCCCCTTTATGCTGAAAAGAAAGAAAGGCCTAGGTGAAAATTTTTTATTCCATCAAGTGCAACTGAATTGTGCAAATTGAAGTTCATAGAAAAGTTACAAGTATCACAGAGACTGAAAACTATAAAAAAATCAATAAATAAGCAATTCCAAGAAACACCATAGAAACAGTTCACCTAAAGGCAAGGACCCTTCTTTAGGGAGTTAGGATTTCCAAGCAAACCCAGCTTACCATGAAATAATCTGTACTCCACATTGTGAGTACAGACTATTAAAACAGTTTAAGTTCATGAGAGACAAAAGCTCTTATCTCTCCCCACGAAACCCCAAATCCCTGACAATTGTGCTCAAAACAATGAATCTCTCCACCCCTTGCTTAGCCAATGAATCAGCTATGGCATTTGCACTCTGCTTGACCCACCCTGTCCTTACTTCCATGTCTCTAGTTAACCATCTGAATTTCTTCCTTTCATCATTGTACATCCACATTTTCATTCCATCATCCTGTAGCCAGCTGATCACCAATTTTGAGTCTCCCTCCACGCTTAGTTTGTTGATGTGCATAGTTTTCGCCCTTTGTATGCCTTCCATTACAGCCATGACTTCTGCCCTCATAAATTCTGGCCAGCATCACCATTCAGATCCTATGGATCCCAAGATAGCTGAATTTGGTTGCCGATGGGCTTGCAAGTTGTGGGTTGAGAAGGCTCTCTTCCATAGCAACAGCTGTTACAGTTCTATATCCATTTATTTATTTTTTCAAGTGGATAGAACTTTTTTCTGTATTAGTGCAACACAGAACATCCTACCATGCATGGAAGAGAGCCTTGACTAGGCGACTAGGTGCCATTGGCTGGGCACCTCACCCAAACGCCTTGACTTTTAACAACTAGGCGCCCTTCTAGGCGACTAGGCACCCACCTAGGCGACAAAAATGATAAGGTGGGTGCCTTTTATAATATCATTTATATTGCTGTATCTTATTAATGTATGTGTTAATACATTTTATCATATGCTATATATATATACTTTGTTTTAATGTTTTACAACTGAAATTTAAAAGAGCAAAGGGTTTTGAGGAGAGAAAAAGAAAGAAAGATGGAATTATAAAGAGGTTATGTTTTTTACTATTCTCTCTCTCTAATTAAATAAAACAGAAACTCCATCCTTGTTTTTTCTATTTAACTTTAAATCTTGAATATATTATCATATAAAGTTGACCTTCTTTAGCTGCTAATTGATACGAAATTCTCTATTAAATCCTTATTATAGCACTATTATATTTGAAAATAATTAAATTAATATATATATAAAAGATTTTTGTCTTTTAGATGTGTTGATTTGCCACATTTTTAGAGGAAATTTAATGTTCTTAATAAAGAAAATTACTGTTTTTTCAATTAATATACATGCTGGATGGTATATAAAACTAGGTAACTAGCCAAAAGTTAGATTTTTATATTATAAAATTTTTATCGCCTAGGTGACTAGGCGCCCTAGTGTCGCCTAGCATCGCCTAGGTGCCTTGAAAACTATGGTTGATCTATTAAAACCATTTACATTTTCTATGAGTTTAAATTTTGTTTTAACTCATTCTACCATGAAGCACTAAATCTTAAGGTATACAAGGCAACTTTCAAACGTATTCTTTTGTCTATAACATTAGCTTCTTAGCTTTGTTTAGTTATTTGGAACAAGATCATAATTTAAAAGGTGTGCTTATGCTTCTATCATCATATCATAAAATATCATTCTATATTTTGCATAATTTACAATGTGTCTACCACATTTTTACAATATTTTCATAAGATATTTCCAACATTTTCGATATGCTTCTTATATTTGGATGTCTGACATTTTAAAACCTTGGTTTGCAAAAGAGAAAATGGGGGACTGGGAATTGGTAGGTTGGGCCAAAAAAAAAAAAAAAGCTCTCCTTAGTCAATGGGTGTGGAGATACCAACTTGAGCAGGACAATCTATGGCACAAAATTATTGGCAACATTCATGGTCCGGCTGTCATTAATGTCAGGGATGATGGGGTGGCTTATAGAGCAGCCCGTACTTCGTTCGAAATCCATCTCTTTGATGTACCCTTTGCCCATCCAATTTGTTTGTTATGATGTCCCCGATAGCAACAAGGTGAAATTCTAGGAAGACCTTTGGTGAGGAGACAAACCTCTATGAGAGAGCCCTACTTGCTGTCTATGTTATACCCTCATTAAAGAATAAGCCCATTTCCCAATTTGCCTCCTTTTCCAGCTTGGATCTCTTTTAGAACTTGGATCTTGGATTGAGAAAGGTTTTGGGGACTTTGAAGAGTCTCATGTGATTGACCTCATTCTACAATTTGGACTCTTTCTACCTTGTGTTCCTACTCACATTCCTCTAGTTTTAATGGTCTTGCGCCACCCATCTTGCATACTTATCCTGTTAGGATGATTTGGCTTGGACCGATTCCTCCTAAAGTTAGGGCTTTAAGTTAGGAAGTATTCCATGTCAAAATCAACATGTGTGAGAATTTAAAAAAAAAAAAGACCCAATCGGTGCTATTCCCTCATAAATGCTTTCTCTGTGATGCAAGTCAGAAATCTACATACCATCTACTGATCTCCCATCCCTTCACTTCTAAAACCTGGGAGAGGTTTTCACTCTTTTAAGAAAAGAAAGATTATGTGGAGATGCACTAGGCCAGTAATCCTTTGGTCTACAAAAGTGATCAATTGGATAAAAACACTGGAGATTTTTGCGGCTTTCACAAAGGATGGCATCCTGAGAGAATGGTAGATGATGGCTATTCTTCTTTCCTTTAAGACTACTTTGATGTTGGCTTGGACACTGCCAGCACTTTACCAAGTAAGGTTTAATCTTGAAAATCGTAGCATGGGGAACCCAGGTAATTTAGGCACAGGAGTTTTCAGAGATAGTCAAGGAGATTTTTTAGCTCTCTGGTCTCAATCAATGTTTCAAAAGGTGTGGGAGGCTCCAGGAAAAGCGCCCCCAAAATGCCCCAAGGCATATGCCAGAGGCATTGATGCCTTTAACGCATACACCTCAAACACCTTTTGCATGAGGTGTACTAGGAGCATATGCCTCATGCAAAAAGAAAAGAAAAAAAAAAAGAAAAGAGAAGGGAAGGGGAAATAAAAAGAAAGAAGAGAAGAAAAAAAAAAAGAAAAGAAAAACATAATGATATTCTCCTCTTGAGGAGGCTTATGCCTCCCTGTGGTTGGGTGGCTTAAACCTCTTGCATTCTGAACTACACCTCATGCCTCAAGATAGCGGAATGCCTCACATCACACCTTTGCATTTTAAAGAAAGTTCTCGACCTAATGGCATTGGGAATTCCACAAAGGCCTATTGCAAGGGATGAAGCTGGGAAAATGTTGAACTTGGGCAACTTGATAACTGAATGGGATTCTAAGGTAGTAATCAGCTGGCTGAGAAATGACAGGCAGGGAATATGACATTACCAGCATGTTTTGAGAAAAAACAAGTGGTTGGCAAAGGAAATTTCCATCTCCATTCCACAGATAATATCAATATGCAAACAGCATAGCTAATTCACCAGAAAAGCAGGGGGTTAAGAACTTTTTTGGGGGGTGACCTAGTTGTGTTGAAAGAAACTTGGGGATAAGTGACGATAATGATAACTTGTAAAAATACCAATTAAGATCATTGTACACGTTATTCTTTTATCACAATAAATAAAGTTTCAAGTTACCAGTCAAAGAATAAAAATAAAACCCTTAGATGTGGATCCATATCTTTTTGTTCTGAACATCAGCTTATCACCTCAGTTTTCTTATCTTTCAGAAGGGGCATTTGTCTTAACCAGAAAAAAAGCCCATAATAAATTAAAAAATATGGATTTGGAATAGGGCACAAGAGATCATTGCAGTTGATTCAACAAAACCATAACAAAATTTGACAAAAAATGTACTGGATTTTATTAATGATAAGAAACTTCACTAATGATCAAAAAGGAGAAATGCATCTAAGTTTTCTGAGGGTGATTTTCTTCAAGTTGAAGGCTCCCCTGCCATCTCTCTTCTTCAGTTTGCTGATGATACTTCAATTTCCTGTGATGCTGTTGAGAAACAGCTCCTATATCTAAGATGTTCACAGTGCTGGTTTGTAGTCATTTCAGGCCTTAAGATCAAACTCCATAAAATGGTGCACTGACTGTTGCTGATGTCAATAGTTTCAAGGATCGGGCTACATGCCTTAGTTGTAAAGTTCATTATCTGCCACCAAAGTATCTCAGCTTGCCTTGTACTTGGTTTATTTCCAACTCTATTTGCAAACCCATTATGAAAGAGATCAGAAGAAGCTGGCTTCATGGAAAACTATGCATATCTCTAAAGAAGCAGGTCATTCACATTTGGAATGCCTTGATTAATCTCCTTAAAGACTTTTTTGTCTTTCCCCTGCGCATGGCTGTGGCTAATAAGCTATAGAAAGTTCAGCGTATTTGTAGCATGGGTGAAAGGATCAATTCAAATATTATTTAATTGATTAGGACAATATCTGTACCCAATGTGTGCCAGTGGTCCCGACTTCAAGCACTTGAAGGATGTGAACACCTTCTTTCTTGGCAAGTACCATTCGCATTTCATTGTTGAGCAGGGTGGCCCTTCGAATGGAGAACAGGCAATTGCTACCAAATATGACATAAGAAACTTGGACCGCAATGCAGCTGAATCTTTTCCAATTTTCAAAATGTCTTGTTCAGACACTGTTATGGCCAAGTAGAAGATCTTCTCACTTCTCAGCAACATATGCTTCATAACGACATGTAGATCCTAGAAACCATGACAGAAGAATCTGGGCCAGTGACCATTCTGGAACCTTCACTGTTAAGTCATTTCATATGATCTAAGAGTCGGCCCTTAATGGCTTTCCCCACAAAGCCATTTGGAAATCTACTTGTAAGAGGGTGGTACACAATCCAACCAACCCAAAACCGGGTCAATTCCGTCCATCTTACTAAATACTGAATATTCCAGCACAATAACAATATTAATAACTAAGGGAGGAATATTCTAGAAACCAAAAAGTGCATTCTCGAATAAGAATAAGCATGTGCGTAATAAGTGAACATTCTAGGATTTCAGGAGCATGGGAGTTGGGACTTACCTCTATAAGTTCAAATCCCTCTTTGTTTATAGATGACTTCTTTCTGTAAATGGTGTTGGCTGACAATGTATAGTATCTTGATGTACATGGAGGGTTGTGTTATTAATACAGTGTTATCACCTTCAAAAAAACTCCAAGGTAAGAAAAAACAGTATTAGGAGGGCCCAATACAGCTCACTCCCATGCTCTCTTCCCTTGACCAAGCTGGCAATTAAGGAATCAATTTCAGGATCCATCTGAATGAGATGCTCACTTGATGCCATGAATCCAGCCTCTTTGATGTTGTGCCATTTCCTTCCACATCCCAATTCCCATAAAACCAATACATTTGATGATAGACTTTCTGGAGACTATCAATCTTAAAACCATGTAAAGAATAAAATCCTTATAAATCATTTGTCTTAACATTACCCTGAACACAAACAGTATGAACCTAAGACAGAGTACCATCTATGAGAATGACAAAGACCAGTTAACAAGATCAATACCACCATATATAATGCAACAATGCAGATGAATAGTAAATAATTTGGGTGAATTGAGACTGAAATATCAATTGACTGTTTATACTTGTGAGATGAGTGCTTACTGCTCCCTGAGCCATCCTCATTAGTATCTGACAATCCAAATTCTGACTGTAGCCTTCTCCGGTGTATTGCCACTTTCCTTTCAATTTCCTCTGAACTTCTAATTCCCCTCTCTTCAAGCGATTCACGATATTCTATCACAGCAACCTCCAGACGCCTTAGCTTTTGTCTGCAAAGCATAAAATCAAGCATCAATACAATTGGACACAACCTCAGAGCTATTTTCCTCAATAATGAAGATATGGAAGTTGGAAAAAGTCATCATTCCACGATTAATGTACAACCTCTGCTCTTCATTCATACCACTCTCGGGATGAGAGGGAAATATTGCCTCTGTTGCAGTCTCTGCCCCATCATCTTTACCAGGACCATCACCTGCATTTTCACTCCCAGAAGATGAGTAGCTTAACCCTAGATCTCGAGTATTTTTCCTATCTTCATCTTCACTGCCATCATCCTCTCGAGCCCATTTTGAAGCAGGTAAAACAGGATCAGATTTTCCCTTCTTGGAGAGAGCTTTTAGTTCAGGCTGTGGAATAGGAAGAGTTGCAGCCAAAGGTGCAGAAGAAACTTTGCCTTGTAAATGCATCCCATCATCCCCATAATGACTCCATCCTGATGATCCAACTGGTTCCATCCCAAGGTTGGTCTCCCTATAGCTACCACTATTTGTGTTCCAGTTGTCCTCCTTTAAATATCTACTTGAATTTGAATAGCTTGAACCATATCCCAGTTCATCTCGTTCATGCCCCCTCTGTTTTTCAGCATCTTCCAAACTAAGTAACCGTGCAACCATCATTTCACGACCACCAACAAGTGAAAGTCCATTGTGTCTGCAACGCCTTTCCAGCTCAGCAAGTGGAAGATTTAATAACTCCTTCATTGCTGCCCCCTTCCCCATTGCTAATGCAGCATCTTGGTTGAGCTTCCTCCCTTCACCTGGATCTTCAGAACTTGTTTTATTTTCAATTTCTGGTGCATCCCCACATAAAGAATGAAAAGGATTCACACCAGAGTTGCCAGATCGAAGAAAAGTAGCTCTAAGTCCATTTACATATGCATCTGAAAAGAGAAACCAATCTGCCCACACTTGGAGAACCTTCAGAACTCTTTCCTGAAAAATCTCAGATAAAAATCAGAGTTAAGAAACCAACATGGGGAACTCCATAAGGAAATTTCCAAATGTAAGTTACCTTCAGTGCCTCAGCAGTCATCCTTCCTGTGATACTGCGATACAAGTCATTGAAGCTCTCCATTATGTCAGGTAAGGTCAGTTCAAATTTAGTACGGTATGCAGATGCATTCTTTACTGGAGCACTACTGTTATGAAGGACATCAGAGACAAGCATGAGCCTTGAAACTTTAGTTGGTATAGGAGTTTCTTTAAGCGTCAAAGATTCAGTAAGAACCTCAACTATCTGTACATGGAAAACCAAACTTAAGTTAGAAACCCATAAGGAAATATAAAATAAAATCACGCCACTGAAAAATGAAAAGTAAGATATTGTTAGAATGCCTGGCCTATATTTTGTAGAAAATAAAGTGGCTTCTTGGGAAACCACGCTGTTGTTGCTTGTGGTGATTGAGAGAGAGAGAGAGAGAGAGAGAAAGAGAGGTACGGATGATAGAAAGAAAAGCAAACTCAGTACTGGCTGCCGCCAGTCTTCTATTTATATTAATCTTTATA